GCATGTTGATAGTAAAAATCAATTTGCCGATATTTTTACAAAACTTCTTACAACTTAACAGTTTTTCAATATACATGGAGAATTGGGGATTATTGATATCTCCAATATTTCTTAATTATGCTTGTTGCATGCACTTTAATACTTTTTCTCTAACCCTTGTTTGAGTATTTAACGTCATGTGAGTGTAATTCCATTCCATGAAGATTGAGGTATTGTTCTTCCAAATTTCTCCTTGAAAGTAAGATTTTTCTTTTTGCATGTTGTTTATGTTCCAAGTGATTGATATATTCAAAATGATAAAATCCATGAATGTTTATTTCCAAAAATTTCAATTGACAACCATTGTGTGTTTTTCAATTTATATGCTTATAGTGACTTCATGTATTAACTTTATACCATTTGAAATGTATGTTCTTGGTGTACAAGCATGTTTTCTATTATTATTTTCTGCATTAACACATAAATTGAATGTATATGTGTTATTCTGCAAATGCAATTCTTGTTGTAGTTGTGTCACATGTTATGACAGCATTTTCATCTTGGATTTAGTGGTGATTTATTTTTTATCAAGCTAGACACATGTGTGCAATATCGAGAGTTCCTTTGTGATGTGTTACGTAATCGTAACACTAGAGAAGTAACTCAATAAGTTTTCTCTTGCATAGAATTCATTGTTATTCATGCATTGCATTACTTGTTAGTAATATGTTGTGCTGGTTATTTATCAATGTTGCGTTATTCATATATATGGGAATATGTGAATGCACGTTCTTCTTTGCAAAAATACATTTGTGTAATATAGTATTTACATTGAATTATGATACTTCTCACGGTTTTCCATCTTTCTTTTTGATGTTGTCAAAGGGGAAGAAGAAGTATATGTGAGATGAAATTGACAAGCACAAAGTCAGGGAGAGCCTTCAATGAAGACATGAAATACAACGCGCAAGTTTTTCCATCATAAAAAAGGGGGAGTGTGTGAGTGCAACTTCACCATTAAATATTTTGCATGATATTAAAATTAGGAAAATTTAGCATTTCTATATATTGGACGGTATCTCTGTGTCGTTTGAAGCACCCTTGCATTAGAGGTCTTAGGAAGCATTCAAAATAAGTTTAAATTTAGCCAAAAACATGAAAAATCATTTTCTGCACAAAAAATAACAGCATGTGTCGACACATCTGCTTTTCATACCTGCACATGTACTATATTATTAAAGGTTGTAGTCTCTGTCTTAGACAGGTCGGCACAAACTGTTTTAGATCGGCACATTATGAAAAATAATAGTATGTGTCGACACATATGATTTTCTGGCCGACATATGTGTTGCATTATTAAAGTATATATCTTTTATTTCTCATGTGTCGACACATGACTCATTTCAGGTCGACACACATGTCAATTTTTAACCTCATGTGTCGGCACATAACTCGTATGTGCCGACACATCCTGTTTGTTTGGTCACTTTTTAACTATTTTTTAATTTCAAAGTTTCCCTCTTTGTCATCATATTTCCTCAACTATAAATACATCATACATGCATCATTTCAATTTGATGAAACTATAAACACTTACCACTAATTCTCTTCATCTTCAACCTCCAACCTATACGTACACACTAACAAATTTTTGTTGGGGTGTCATCTAGACGAGGTTTGATAACGTCTAATTAGTTTTATGTAAACAAGAATATTGGGTTGAGAATTGTAGAGGGTTTCATCCAAAAAAATCTAGAGTTTGTCTGCCAAGATCTTTGGTAGATTTGGGGATTTTGTTCAAGACTTTGCAATAGTAGATTTTTCCGAGTGAAATCTTTGAAGATTGGAGATCTTGCAAAGGAGTAGCGCGAAACAGTGAATCATATTGGAAGTTCTTATGGTCAATAGTTCACAATTGGATTCGATCGAGTGAAAGCTTTGGAGATTGAGGATCTCGCAAAGGAGTAGTGTAAAACAGTGAATTAATTGGATCTATTGTGTCTTGGTCTTGCTCAAGATTAAAAGAAGAGAATGGGTTCAATCAATATCAAACGGTTAGGGTTTGTAGGTTACTCTTGGAACACTTCTCTTGTAATCAACTTTTAGCAAAGTAAGATTCTTATCTCAATTCTAAAACAGAATTGTGGAGAGACGTAGCCATAGTGAGAATGATTGGTGAACTTCTTAAACAAATCCTTGTGTTGTTCTCTCTCTCTCTCTCTCTCTCTCTCTCTCTCTCTCTCTCTCTCTCTCTCTCTCTCTCATTTACTTTCAATATGCAATTTGTTGAACTTGATGTTTGATTGATCAATTCGTATAAAAATTTTCTTTGATTTTTAAAGTTTAAATTGCTTTTTTGATCAGCTTATGATCACTTTGATTGTAAGTAATGTTCTCAAATCATCAAATCTCAAAATAAAAATTTGAAAAATTGATCGCGTGCCAAGTGTTTGATAAATTGTCAAGTTCTGTTTTTAATACAATCACATTGGAAATAAGTGGTTGTAGTGATTTGTTATAAACGATTAATTGTAAACCAATTTTGTTAGTTGCTTTTATCATTGATTAATTCCATAAGACTCTCGCATAATTGAGTTTCCAATAACAAGGTTCGTTTAGACGATGTTTTCGATCTAGGAGAAAATTCTTCCGTGCAATATTACTTTTCAAAATAAAATTTAATTACCTATTTTTGAAAGGTAATTTTACTTGGGTATCTATTCACTCCCCTCTAGATAAGTCGTCGTCTAACAAACCATCTAGAGTATAAAGAAATATGGTCGAATGAAACTTTATCTCGATGAATAGTGTATGGCATCTAGACGACGTCATCATGCTGGATCCAGTCAATACACATGAAACAACAAGATAGCATCATTCTCTCTGCTAGGGGTAAACCGGCAAGCAAATCGATAATCATCATTATAGAATGGGTCACGTTTAAATCTGTGAATGCGGTGATAGTGGCAAGGATCCATCCTAGAAAATGAATAAGAAAAAAAAAGTAACTAATGTGAAAAAAAAGTTGTTTGTAACTTAATATTAGGATTTGAAAATTATCGTAAGTATGGGCATGAGTGTCATTTGCTTGTCGTTCGTTTAAACTCTTCGCTCATATTAGAGTACGGGTAAATCAAACATGTTGCCCCTCAATTCCACTCATGAATGGACTCTAAATTGATGAAATATTTGAGGTAAGTCACATCCACGTAGTTTGCATTTTTGTCCACAAACATGGACGTGCCAACCAAGAATAGGAAGAACCACCTCAGGGCACACTCCTATGATAGCCAACCCAAAGATCATCAGCGTCTGGGTGTTCGAATATCTCCAAATTTTTGCCATACAAATCCGCCAACCAATGAAACTTAGCATGTGCATCCCTGGTACTTCTACACTGCTCAAAGGCTTCAACGGGGTCAGTTCCCAAAAACACCACCCATCATATCCACTGCATCAGCCCTGTTGATCCTAGAATGATCAAACAATCTTCCTCTGATGGGAAGATGTAGGAGGCAAGCTGCATCCTCTAATGTAATAGTTATCTCACCAATGGAGGGGTGGAAAGATGACGTATCGTTGTGCCATCTCTCAGCAAATGCAGTTTATATGCCATGGCTGATAGTGGTGTATCCAAAAACACGTAGACCTACAAGCCCAAAATTCTGGAATACATTTTGGAACCACTCTTCCTCAGGCTGATAATTATTGTGAATCTTTCTTGCATGGTTCACAGATTTCATACATTCATGTTCCTGCTGAAAATAAAATATAACAGGATCAGTTGAGTTGAATTTGGTTACAAAATGAAAAATAGAATCGTTCAAAAATACACCTCTCTGTCCCAGACATGCGGAGCCACATACTCTCCAAAGTATATCAGTAAAGAAGTGTTTGTGGACCCTACTAGAAAAGGATCTACAAGTGGGGCATCCTCGGCAACTGGAACCTACGGTGCAACTGGGGCATCCTCGTCATGGTGCACACCACTCTAGAATTTTGACCCTCGTGATAGTCGACTCCTAAAGGTTGACACCTCTATATCGTAAGGTAGAGGAGGACGACTATAGCCTGCTCGTGCTAACGAGCCCTCTCACGACGAGTAGAGGCAGTTATGATGGGTCGCTCAAGTCTCAACCTTTCTTGGTTTTCAGCCATATCCCTTGAAAAAAAATATAACAAACTTGATTAGTATATAAGGAAGGAAAGAGTTCAGATATGTATCTCCGAAAATCTGAAACAGAACACTTCAAAAGATGCATATCCGAAAAAAGCTTCATAACTTCAATAGTAGAAAATTTTCTGCAACTGTCCTAGCCATCCAAATCATATAATCATAGACTATACATAATCTATTTGAAATGCTAATGATATCTAATACATTAAAACTAACCTATTTGAGCTAATACAATAATCAAAAATCAAATAAGTTAAATGAGAAACTTACTCAAAAATGTGTTAATGAAAGTGTAAAATGATTTGATGTTAAATACAGTAGTTAGAGAAAGTTGAGAATGGTAAGATACAAGTAAATATTGCTTCAAAAGTTAACCTTGAGTGGGAACTTGAAATAGATAGAATGAGGTAAATAAAAACTTTTGATTTTCTAAAAAATGAAGAAGGATAAGAGGGAGAGTCTGACGCAAACTTTAAATATGTTCAACTAGTTCGAAGATGTATCTCCGAAATAGTTTTTTGAATTAAAAAAAAAAAAAAAGTGAATTTAAACAAATTGAACCAGAAAAAAAGCTTGCTTAAAAATATAGATTTTTGTTACAATAGTCATCCAAGAATATACATATGCTCACAATAACTGAGCGGTGATCATGACGAGTTCAAAGATAATATACAAAATATACACATAAAAAAAGGGGATGAAAAAAAAAAACTATCCATAAGACAGTTAACTACTGATATTTTATACACTATCTGAAGGTTACTCTTACTCCTCCATCCATGAAGCTGCTTCAACCCAATTTATCCAAAATCTTTCAAAGTCCTAATCCTAACAGTAACACAATCTAGATGCCACCAGAAACCCAAGTATCCTTGATTCCTTCTTTCCATATTCCCCATCTCCATCTAACTCCAGGAAATTTGCTTCTGCATGTGGAGATGAGGTTTCCAGCAACACACAGATCAACATCGCTGTGGATGAGCAGAGAAATGTCTCCCAATTGGGTGCATTTTTCCAATAGAGAGAAAATAAATGCAAGAGTAAAATCAATTTCAAGTACCACAATATGTGCAATAAGCTCTTTCAATGTTTTCATCCCAGTCGCATTTTCAAAACTTCCCCTTCGGAAAGAACTCTCCATGGCATGCCAAGCCCCAGAACCTAAACTAAGATATCTCATGTTTGGGAAATAATTCAACAATATATCAAAGCCAAACTCCACTTGATCAACTTCAACTCCTTTAACTATCTGTGTTCTTCTCACAAAATCTAAGCTAAGCCTCTCTACAGCAATGCAACGGCGAAACATGCTTAAAATGAAACCAAGAGAGAGGCATTCCACCTCAAGCTGAAGGCGTTGTATGTTCCCACAATTTTTCAATACTAACTCATCAGTATTCTCAAGAGAGAGACTGAAATTGGACAAGGAAGGTGCGTCGAGGAAAATCAACTTAGGCTTGATACACTTGAGATGGAAATAAACAAGACTTGGTGCTCGTATAGTCAAAGAAAGAGGAGCATTGGAAACTGACCACTGACAAGTCTGAAGATGTGAGAGATTAATTGAAGGCTCTTTAAGTCCTCCAACTCCCATAAGATTAAGTTGCGTAAGATTAGGTAAACAAGTATTGATCATGTTCAAATCCTCGTCATCCAATCTTACAAACTCAAGAGTCAGATTGGTCAATGCAGGCATCAAACACAAACCATCCACTGCTAACCAAGCATTCCTAATCACCAATTGCACCAGACCATAACCTGCAACAAAAAGAAAGCAATTATTAGCAGCAAGATTTTTAATAAGATTTGGAAATGCGATAGTGGCCGCGATATCAAGGTTTCTGATGTCTTGGCCATGGTTATAAACAAAGTCGTTTTTTAATGTCTTGGTCGTGGTTTTAAACAAAGGCATGCAATAATGATATCTGTCGCAACAAAATAGCTTTTTATCTTTCCAACACCACAACAGTAACACAACATAACATGCCGAAACCACACAGCTGTGATTGTGGCTGAATCAACATTAGTCATATTTGATTGCGACTCTCCGTCAAGGACACATCGCGACCGCAATCAATACAATGACCATTGTTTAAAATTTATTCTTGATAGCAACAGTGACTACATCACAGTATTTGAAAGTAGTTGTATATTACATTTATTTGGTCTAACTCAGTGTTCAGATAACCAGTTTATGAAACTGCCAACCACTTCTAAACACATTTTTAAGTCTTATCTCATAAAAATGTGGGATTTTTAACACTCCCGCCCCCACACTAGGATACATGGAGAGATAGATACTGGATATACAACACTTGACACTGACTCAGTCAAACACGTCAAAACCAATAATAATTTTAAAAAATAAATAAAATAAATCTAATAAATCTAATGACAAGTGCCGGTGTTGGTTTCAGACACGACATTTATACATATGAGCCTTTTTACATTTACACATATGCGCCTTTTTTTCCAGAGGTATTGGTGCTACAAAGATGGTCCCATAGCAGACAGGCCCAACAAAGATTTTTTTATATTAAAGAGCAAATTATGGTAATTAATTCAGACCACAAACAGTGATCAGTGTGGCGAGACCTGTACCGGCCAAAATTGTGAGAGGCTTTACTCGGCCGCCGCACGACTATATTTTAAAACTCTGGTAGCAGGTAACCCGGTGGATCTTAGATAAGCAAGCTCTGATATCCTATTAGTTTTTACATTTGGCCAGCTATTACTTATAAAAGTGATGCGTGCAATTTTCAGCCTAAACTCATGCATGCAATTTAACATTTTAATTTTAATTTTAGAAGAAAAAGAGAGAGAATAATAATTGAGGATTGAGAAGCTAACAAGTGGAAGAGATGAGGAATAACGCTTTGGAGCGTCTCCAGCAAGATTGAACCCAGAAATCCGAAATAGACAGCGACTTGATAGATTTCGAAACACACGGAAGCCAATCGAGAATAAAATTAAACTCGGTGAGATGAAGATCATCAGACTCATCTTCAACATCATCAAACGAGACACCACCGAGCGATCTATCAACACCAATCGACACAGATTCAAAATCGGGCGATCGGTGAACGAGGTTCTTCAAAACGGTCTTGAAAGGTGTGACAAGGTGCTTGGTTTCCGGTGATCGGGATCTGAGGTAACGCGACATGGAACATAGGAGGGTTAAGGATCGGACTTCATTTGAGGCGTGGTTGAAGGCGGTGGAAACGAGTCTGCAGCGTGCGAGATCGGAGGTGTCGTTTAGGCGGGTGAGGATTTCTATGAGTAGCGGAGAGGGGAGGGTTTCCATTGATGGAGATGAATTTGCACCGCGCGAGATAGGCGAGATGATGATGGTATATTTGTTTGCGCGTGTTTTGCGTGGCTTTTTGAAATGAGTTTTACTTTTTTTTTTCTTTTTTTTTTAATTGTTCGGGACGCGCGTCGAATGCACTTTCTATATTAGTAAGTTGTGTTTGCGGTAATCTCTAATTTTTCTGAATAAAGGTCAAGAGCTTTTGGTAGAGATCCTTGCAATTTACATCTTAGATTTTATTAGATAAATAATTTAGTTTTTCTCTTGTTTTCTTTTATGAGATTTTTGTGGGTCGACTAGTAAGTCATGTTTGGTTTGGTTTTCCGCCATCAAAATAGAAAGATAATGGCTAGGGTATTATAGTGATTTTTTTTTTTAAATAACCATTTTAATAAAAAAACTCAAATAATTATTTTTTTAAAATATTTATCAAAGTAGTTATTTTTTAAATATATAAAAAATTTGTCACACAGATGAGGCGTCACTCTGTATGGCGCATGCATATAAAATAGAAAGGAGATGTCACACTGCATGACTTGTCCTCCTATGTAAAGTCATGCAGTGTGGCGCATGCATGTATAATTAGAGAGAAGGCGCCACCTTGTGTGGCATGACAGTTGTATATGATTTTCTATAAATATAATCATTCATCTTAATTTTTTCACATCATTTCTCACATCACTCTTAGAAAATGTCTTTCACTCCCTTGCCTAGGTTTTCACTGATCAAAAGAGATGCGTAAGTTATTTTTTCAGCGACAAAGTCTTCGATGAAGATCAAACTCTAGAACACGCAGACATTCAAGCATTTTCAAAGATCTTGATTCGCTGGTTGGAAGGAGACATTCCTGAAGGTGAACAGATCAGAAAAATTGAAAGACAAATTACAATGAAGAACGAAAATAGAGTAAGTCAATCATGGAAAAAGGTGAGATGTGACGATGATGTCATGATGATGATGATGTTTGGACCAGACGATATTGTTTTGTTGGTTTTTATCTCTTAGATATTATGATGTGTTTATATGTTTTGTCTGCTTATCATATTGTTGTGTTGTTGTTCTGAATTTGTCGTGTTGCAATTTTTTGGGTCATTATCTGAAGGTTGATGTAATTGAATGATAAATTGAACACGAAATGAAAACCTGAATTTAAATTGAAATTTCTTGCTTACAACAAATTAATTACTCCAGAAAGTTTGCTATAAAAAAATTAGGATGCAGAGCTAGACCCAATATTCGGATAATTTTTTCGATTGTCCGAGAAGACAGTGTGTACTGCATAATCTTATCATTTTGTTAGCCGTATCTATTTCAGTTCTAATATGAGTGCTATTGGAGCGCCCCTTTTTCTTCCGTCATATTTGTTCATTGTGTCAAACAATGTCCTCTTGATAAGCAGGCCAATAATCCTCCTTTGCCAACACAGAGAAGGTACTGATGTACACACTTAAAACGGTATTTACTGTATAAAGGGGGGATATATGCTGTATTGGATCCAAGCGAACATGCCGCTATGACATGAGAGCAAGGCATGTGAAATGCTTGAAACTTTCTACAATCATACCAACTTCTATCTAGTTCAACCCGATATTATCCCCTTGGCCTCCCCTCATTATGATCCATTGTCTCTTGTACACTGAACCAACCTTTAATACGGTCAAACACTGTGACACTATAGGTGTTTGCTTTGGCATCCTCCTTGTTAAATGATTTCATTGTGCATTCAGTGAACAACTGCCTTGATTGTAACACTTCCCTCCATTTTAAACTTCTTGTGTTGAACAATGACCCCATCCTAAAATATGTTGCTCTAACCAAAGCAGTAATTGGTAGGTTTCAGATGCCTTTGAAGATAAAGTTCTATGATTCCATCAAATTTGTTGTCATGTGGCTCCATCGTTAACCTTTGCCAAATTCTTGAGTCCACTTCTCCGCTAGAATATTATCGATCCACCTTAATGCTTCTGAGTTTATCAACCGGATTTCTTTGCGGTAGTGTTGGAATGATGGTTCTGTTAAGGCAAATCCTGCATTAACAACTTTCTTTCAAAGTGTCTTGTCTTTGATATGGAGCATGAAATTTTGTGTGATATGTCTAATGCAATAGACATATGTTGAAGGGGGGTACTGCCAACCGTTATCAGGGTTACTGTATGCACTCACAATCGATGGATGTCTGTCTAAAATCAAACAAAGGTTGGGTTGAGGAGCAACGTGTAATCGGAGATTCTTCAGAAAGAAATTCCATGCACCACCTATCTCACCTTCAGCAAGAGCGAAGGAAATTGGAAAAACATTATTGTTGCCATCTTGTGCCACTGCCATGAGTAATGTTCCTTTATACTTTTCGTATAACCAAGCTCCGTCAATTTGTATAATAGGTTTGCAAAATGCAAAACCTTTGATGCATGGTTCATACGCCCAGAACAATCGATGAAATATTCCATTTCCACTGATATAAGTTTTGTCTGGGGTAAATATCAGGAGTGTCTCCAAAATTATAACAGTTCCCGGAGCATAATATTTGAGTGCCACTAAAAATCTTGGAAGTTCTTTGTATGATTCCTCCCAATTACCGTACACAAGTCCAACTGCCTTAGTCCCCGCGAAACATGCCTTCCTGTAAGAGGGAGTATAATTGAATCTTGTAACGATATGAGAAATAATTGTATTCACCTTTAATGATGGATCCTTGCTAATAAGAGGCAAGATTTCTTGACATATTAGTTAAGAACTAAGTTTTCGATGATCATGCGTCGGAACGGTGGTGATGCAAGTGTAGATTGGATCAATGGTACATATTTTCCATGAATCACTTTCTTCTTGTAAGATGCAGTTAAACAAAAGGGAAAATTGGTTTTTGACGATATAAAATAATGTACCTCCCTGAATTAGTTCAACCTATACTAAAATCAGCTAAAATTTCCATGTGGTATTTTTTTATAGCTCTAACACACTCTTCTTTTGTATGAAATGTGTCTTCAACTTTCAAGGCCCCTTCGGTCTGCATATAAGGATTGTGAAAGATATCTGAGGCTGGTTCGTCTTCCCCCAAATTCAAGTTCGTCATGTGAAACGGAGGGTCATACACATGACTCATAGGTAGAGGTTCATGCTCTTGATCTTCATCGACATTATTGACCATAAAATTAATCATTGCATCATCATCTTCTTCTTCTTGGTCAATAACATCGACTTTGGGGTGGTTGTCCTCGTCAGATTCATCCTCTTCTTCAAAATATTGAGAAGGATCTACCACCTGAGATTGATCAAGTTGTTGTGATAAAACATACAACTCAATGTCATTGAACCCGAATTGTTCATGAGTTCAAAACATGTTTCGAACATCATCATCATCACGCATCTTTAGTTGATAAAATTTGACTTGGTTGTTGTCAAATAGAAACGGAGACTTGTAAAGAATTTGGTAAACTGGACCACATTGCAATTTTGCTTCTAGTCTATCTTTGAAGCATGTAAAACTTTATTTCTTGTTTGTCCGAAAGCGGATAAAATTGGTATTACAAAAATTAAAACCGAAGTTATCGCAGTTGAACGTCTCACTGTTAATATGAGCAACAATACTATAATATTGTGAATGATCTATATGTTGCGGTATGTTTTTTGTGAGTGTTGGCTCCCAAATTCGACACTTACTGTATTTGGTCTTTTGGACCAAACAACTGGAATGAACTAAACCGGGAGGTATGATTCGACACATGAGATAACTTAGGAAAAAGGATCTAAGTTATGATAAGAATCTTCGACCAAGGGCTCATTCGACTGAAGCAGATTTATGTTGCTCGACTGAAGGAAAGTGTTCACGCTTTGGCACATGGGACGAAGACCATTTGAAATTTGAATTATTGGAGGGAAAGGTAGTTTTCATTAGCGTCTAAGGAGAGGCAATGTGGCAAAAAGCTATGGGTCGAGAGGCATGCAGAAGACACTTGTCTTCATCTTAGCGCAGAATATCCCCTCGATGGTTACCTACTTTTAGTATAAATTAAGAAGCTTGTGTAATTTTTAAATGTGTTCAACCTATTGTACTAAATCACTCAAATATTATCCAAGTAACTACTGTGTGAGAAAGGATAAAGCTTAGCAATGTACGTTGGAAATACCTTTTTTCCTTATTAAAAGTCTTTTTACATTACTTCATCATTATCCTGCAAAGTTATCTTTTTACTTCTTTTACTTGCATTTTTACACTTTTGCTTACTTTTCAACAATCTCAAACATCCTTTCTCTGGGTCGAACGTGCGTTCTTCCTTCTTACTCATTTTACATAAAGATTAGCATATGTTCTGGGATTAGTTTGGTCGATCCCATAAGTAAACCAAAAACCTTACCTTCTTTGGAGATCAGCGGTTGTTTACCAAAAACAACGGTAAACAAATTGGCACACCTGGTGGGACGTTGCTAATTTTCTATGTTATTGTGTTTTTCCTGTACAGTTATAACATTGTATGTTATTAAGAAGTGGTAGATTAACCAACAAATATACCGTTAGAAAGGAAAACGGAGAGAGTAGTATGGCTAACAAGCCAAACCATGGAGAAATACCTCCACCAATTACAGGAACAGCGGTTACTACTGTTGTCGAAGGGAAAATCCCAACTTCTGTTAGATCAATACCAGCGTTAACCATGAATCAAACTGGACCCTTACTTTCGTATGTGGGTCCAAGAGGTCCTTTGGGAACACCCCCACCAAGGATAAACCTAAGGTCTCGATCAACTGTACCCCCAGGCTTTTTGACAACCTGGATGGGTCGAGAACAGCCATATGGCATGTCCACTACTGAGATGGCTAGCCTTATGAATGTTGCGTCCACCTTTTCAGAACCTTTGGTGAATGCAACATCACCATTACAAGGGTCTGGAGCCAGTAGAAACCAATTTTTGGGAGGGCCATCTCACATGATACCAAGCCTCACAAATGCTTCGACAGCAATTTTGAGGCAACAAATGGACGAAAGTAATCATGAAATG